GCTCTGTTTTACCCCAGACCAGGACACAAGCTGTTGTTAGTTTGTCTGTGTTTACAAAAAAAAATGTTGGTTAATTTCCTAATGCCTGGCTTCTCTTTCTGTGCAGAAATGTTCATTCCCGCTCAGCTGGAAGGCCAACCATTAATCTCTTAAAGGAACAAGGTGTGTTTTTAATGCATTTTCTCTGCCATGGCTTTTGTCAACACAATTTCTTCAGTTGTGCCATGGCCTCACATCAGGGTTGTGTCCCTGAAACTGGGGAGGAGCAGTGCAGAGGTCCTGTATTCATTCTTTATGGGGCTGAGGTGTGGTAAAGAGCTGCTGTAAACACTGCTGATGGTTTGGTTTGCTCTGCTCTCTGAGGTGCCACAAAGGTGTTGCTGCATGCGTTTGATGGGAAGCCATCCGTAGCGATGGAAGGGGTGAAAGCTGGGTACTTCTTCTCCATTCCTCCCTCCATTATAAGGAGTGAACAGGTAACATTTGGAGGGGTTTGCTCCTTCTCAGTGCCTGGGGATTGCCTGTCACAGCTGACAGCTTACTGTGATGGCAAGCAGGACTCTTGTCACTAGGTGGCTCCGGAGCATGCCTGGGCTTTAATCTGTGCAGTTTGAAGTGGGACCAACAGTACTCACAGCTGCTGTCACCTGACACTTCAGGGCAGAAGTGTCAGTTGTTAACTGCATTGCACATTTTTACTTTGACTAAATTTCTACCTTGGGCTTTTGCCTTAGCTAGACTTTTTTTTTTTTTTAAATTTTGGCTAAAACACTTCAGCAATTCCTGAGAAACAAGGGTTATGAAAATAGGCATTTTTAATCTCATTTTATTGTGGTTTCTGGTGAACTCTTCTTTGGAAGCTTCTGTCACTGTATTGTTTTAGAGAAAGGACATGACACATGGAAGAGGGCTAGTTTCTCAGTGCTGTGGCACTTTCAAAAGGAAATCTGCTCACAGTTGGCTAAATTACAGACCTTTGAAAAATTGTAATTATCACAAGGTGTGCCCAGCAAAGAAACAGCTAAATTGCTTGAAGATGGCATCGGTCAGGTTCAGTCCTTGATTTGTTGAATCTGCTTTTTTTAATTTCTAATTTGGACAAGCTTCTGTAAGCTATGCTAACTTCTTGTTTTGGGGTAGTATTCTGTTTACATCTTGCACCATCATCAGCTTCTGTAATAAGCTCAGGAAATGTGGCAAAGGAAGAGGTGTGATTCAGGTGGAGGGGGTGGAGGGATGGATATAGGTGGGGAGGAGTTAGAAACTTGTAGAAGGGAAAGCAAACGGATGGGGGGTAAAAGCAGAAATGGGGAAAAGGTTCATAAGTATGTATACAGAAAAACAGCAGATTACAATTGCATTGGCATCTCTAAAGATAGAGTATTTTGGGCAATATAACTAGATGATTTAATAAATAACAATGGATTCAGTGTTTATATACTAGTACCTTAGATATTTAGAAAATAGCATAATCCAAATTCTAAGGGACTTGAACAGCTCCTGGTATTCTGACTTCTGTTCTGAAATTGATGGAATGCAGATAGTGTCACTGAAGACTTCTGACATTCCATTTGAAAGCAGAGGATATCCTCCCTTCATACATTTTTTTCTCTCACAGGTCTCAGTGCATAAATCATTTAATAGCTGTCTTTTTTTCTTCAAGAAGCAGAAGCTTGTGAAGCTGTTACCTCTGGAATGTATGTGCTTGGAAACTGACTCTCCTGCTCTGGGGCCCGAGAAACAGGTAAATGTTGTGGCTGGAGAGACTTCCATGTAGGTCTGTCCCAGCCCACACCTTATGGAGGTCAGCTGCTGGCACAAGAGAGTGAAGCAGTGCAAGCTGTGGGCATGAGGGATGAAGGAGGTTGCCAAATGAAAATCCTGAGATTAACAGCCAGTCTTCCTGGGACTGGAAAAGGAAAAGACATTCCAGGAATGGGCAAAGGGGAAAACAATCCAAGAAGAACAGATGCATGTGATCTCTCTGGTGCATGTGCCACTATATGACTGAAGCTGTACCTGAATCTGAAACACTTGGGATCTACAGGGATCTGTTATTTGGTCTGGTTTATTTTTTGCTTGTCTGTTTTCAGGTGAGAAATGAACCAAAAAATATTTACGTTGCTGCAGAATACATTGCCAAAATTAAAGGAATTCCGGTTGAAGAAGTTATAGAAGTGACTACACAGAATGCACTGAAAGTATTTCCCAAACTTCGGAACTTTCTTCGGGTATAGACTGAGAAATTGAAATACATGATGTTGCAGAAACTCTTATTTATTATGTAATTAATAAATCCAACATGCATCGTGTCTTAAAGTGGAGCTTAGCTGTTCAAATGTTCCAGAAGTGAGCAGAGCATTATGCAGATGCATGGGATGAATACCAGAATTTCTGAAAGGTCTTTGGTGTGCACCGTTGTCATCTTTTGGATGTATAAAGGCAGGTAATTCATTTGCATCTCTCATGTCTCTGAATGAATACTTTGTAAGGAAGAGCCCCATAAAATTGTCAATTTAGTCTCAGCTGCACCTAGTCTGAGGGATGGCTAATGTGTGGTGGTTCAGGTCCCACTCATTCCTTAATTTCTGCTGACTGAAAGTCACACTATTGAGGGCCCACTTGCCACATGAAAACTCCTGTTAGGACTTCCAGACCACATGTGCCTTTCTGAGCTGTTAAGTAAACCTCATCTGGATGGGCAATCTCTGTGTCTTGTGTTGACTGGGCTCTGTGAGTGGTGCAGAAGCAACACCTCTGATTTCCTTCAAAATACAGTTGTAAGGAAAGAATTACAGCCATACTCCACCTCTCCTTTTCTGTTGTGTGCAGGAACTTAACAGTTGCTCAGATCTTGGCTACTTTGACCAGGATTTGCTTTGATTTTTTAATATTTTTTTTTAATTCAATGGAAGAAGTCTGAGTTTGGTCTTATTTCAAGGACTTACTCTTCTAGCTACTCAGTATTAGGAGATACAGGATGTGAAAGGGACACAAGCCCAAATTAGTGAGATCTTGGAGGTACCTTTCTGCTGTGGATTCTGTATGTTGGCCAGTGTCTGAAATACTGAACCTTGTGCTCCCTCACAGCATGTCTGTGGATGTGGGCCTGTTGAAATGTTGATCAAAATCTTTCTGACTATAAACTAGCAATGAACAAGGTGAGTTACAGATTTTTCTGAGGGCCACTAGGGAAGGAGAGGCTTTGTCTCCTGAGGGGGAGTTTTACTAGCTCAGTGAAGAAAATACTCAACTTAGTCCATAACCACCTCAGGTACAAAATCATGTGTCATACCAGTGGATGGTAAGAGCATTTGACTTTTAAGATTTGGGCATGTGTCTTCTGTGTCTAGGGTACTGATACTATTTTTCAGATCCTGTCTTCCTGGTTAGAGCACCTTCCTGGTTTCTCATTGCAAAATAGTGTGTAATGCCCTCTTCTGAAATCATCTGTCTGTTTTCTGGGGAGTAGGACTGCAAAGGAATGTTGTGGGGGGTTTTTGCCTATATTGAGGAGGATGCAAGTGCAGAAGGCATAAGCTCCCAGATAAGGGGGAGGCAGGAAGGGAGCAAAAGCTTGTAAGCAATACCCGTCTTAAACTTCCGGGTTCCCTTGGTTCTTAAAACCACACTGCTGAGAGGGGTTTTTTTCTGTTTTTGGAAGAAGAGCTGTGTTGTTCTGCTTTTTGCCAGAAGCAGTCTTATTGAGGTTAAACTTGTGCTCCTAAACAGTTTTCAGCCTGTAGCAAACAAGTTTGAATAATCTGACTCTATTACAGTGTATATTCAGAACAGCAAACACCTGAATCTTTGTTGATGTGGACCCAGAGTAGTTTGAGCCATTTGTTATCCTGGATCTACAGGCAGCATTTGCACTAAACTGGATGAAGGACAGAGTTTACCTCCAGATGGTGCTAGGGAACAGGTGTGCAATAGTCTTAAGAGTATTAATGGGATTGATATTAAGAGTTAATAATGGGAGATGCTAAGCAGGTGGTAGCAGGCAGCCTTACACATGTTTCCTGCTGCCTGTGTGGCAGTTGCATGGCATTGCAGTTATGTATGGAGGGGCTCCTGGGAAAAGGTGAGGCAGCATCCAAATATTGCAGTGCTTTGTCCTTAGTATTACTCTGTATGAAATTCACAGGCTTGGATGAAAACACTGGTTTTGCACTATGCAGTATTTCAGTCTGCTCAAAATCCCTCTCTCTGCAGGAGGGGGACATTGCTCTGGGTCGTGCTCAGGTCAGAGGTGGTACCTGCCCTGAGCCCTTGAACCCCTGTGGCTGATGCAAACACCCTTAGGCAAGCTCACATCCTGCAGCTCCTGTGCCCCCTGTCCCTGCAGCAGCAGGGCCCACGGGTGCTTGCAGTGGTTGGGGCTGGGGAAGGAGGCACAGGGTTGCTTCCCCTGGGGAGAACAGAAACCTGGCATTGTAGCAGCTGTGGGTAGGACGAGCCTGGCAGGGTGCCCATGGTAAAACTGATGGACTTTGTCCTCTCCTTAGACCTGTGGCACCTGAGCTAAGTCACGGTGTGGGTGGCCTGGCCCTCCAGGAAGGGAAAATGCAGTGTCATTCCCACCCAGTCTTGGCATTCCTAACATCAAACCAGGGTTGTAAGTAGCACCCTTTCCCCAGGGCCTTTGATTTTGCTGTGCCCCTGTCCCCTGCAGTGAGCACTGAGGGGTGGCAGGTGCTGGAAATAAGGTTGCTTTGTGCAGGAAACTTGACTTTTTAAGGTACTCACTTGGGACTGGTAGTAGCTAATGTGGGGGTAGGAAGTGTGGGTTCTGAGCTGGAAAACATCTGATCCCTCAGCAGTCATTCTGTGTCTTCACCTTGAAAGGGAGGTGTAACAGAAAGCTTGCATGTCTGCCTGCAGCCCTGGGCTAATGCTTGGCCCCCAGGGGCTCAGGAGGGCAGGATGGCTTGTGGGGGAGCCATTTGGCTGTACACTCTGAAACCCTTCACCCCCAGAAAGACTGGCCCTGGCAATATCAGTGTGTGAACACTATTGCAGGCTCTCAGGCTGTCTGGACAAGCCATGTCCCCTCCTGTGTAGCACAGGACACTGGGGTGGCCAGAGACATACTAGGGGAACAATCCAGTGTGAATTTAGCTGAATACCATATTTAGCTTTTGGCAAACTTGAGGGGAAATGAGAGAGAAGGCACAGAGTTAGTGGAGACCCAAGTTTTCTTTTTACTCATGCCATTAATTTTGGGGGCTACTAATAGCTCTGATGACCTCTGTCTCACACAGGTGGCATGGCACAGATGTCCTGCAGAGCAGTAGGTCCCAGGCTCTGATACCTTTAGCCATCACCTTTTCCTGGGGTTCTGCAAACAGCAGATCTAACTGCACTTTGTATGACTCCATGTGTCTCTTTATCTTAAGGATGTGTATGACATGGTAGAAAAATCAGAAAGGTTTGTGATTTTTTGGCATAATTAGTGCCTTCAGAGTGCCTTGCTTGTTAGTCAGTACTTTGTTATTGATGCAGCTTTGGCTGGTACAGCTTCTACCAGAGAAGGAAAAGCCCCATGTTGCTCAGGTCTTTCCAGGCTTAAAATAATGCACACAGATGCACTCTGCACTAGGGTGTGCAAGGGCTTACATGAGTGCAGAGCTTAACACCAGGCATAAGTCATGAGGGGGATGCAGGGTGACAGTAATACTGTGAAGGTACTTTCCATAGGCTGAGATGTGGAACTTGGAGATCCAGAGAGCTCCTAGAGTAAAGTCTGGTGATAGAGATGGAATAGTGATCAGCATATGCTGTCACTGACTAACAAATCACACAGGTACTTCCTACCTTCCTTGTTCCATGGGCACCTGGAGTCAGTAGCAGGGCCTGGGAGGGTGCTGAAATGGTCAGGCTGCTCTTGTCAGCCTTTCACAGCCCACACCAAAACTGTTTGCAGGGGTCACATGGCACAAGACTGGAGTGCTTCTGCCTGGAGACCAGATGACGTGCAAGACTGGAGGGGGTCTAGTAGGACTAAAGGGTTAACATATGTCACTTGAACTCCTCAGATCCTGGAAATCCCCACTGGGTTCAGGGTCAACAGCTAATAGTCTAAGGGTTCTGTCTGGGCTTACTCAACCCGTTTTTGGAGGGCTGCAGGTGGATCATCTTCTTGGGGCCTGTCTTCTGAAATTTCTGTGTAGTCATGAACTGACAGAATTCAAATCTGCTGAACTCTGGTACAAGCTGTGAGGGTGCTGAGTTTTTCCCAATTTTGACATGGGAACATGTGAGGGTGTGGTGATGAGGGCAAATGGAAGATATGCTGTTTACTCCTCCTGTTTATTGCAGTAAGAGGTTAAACAAATTGACCAAAGACTTTTACTGGAGGTGCTTCTGGCAGGCTCCTATGTAATCCATAGATAGGGTCTTTAGAGGCAAAACCAAATAAAAAATTGGCTGGAAATGCAAGTTTAATTAGTAAAGAAAGTCTGCTTTTGTTTGTTTTTTCACTAACACAGGATGGGGTTTGAGCCTCTGTTCCCTTTACAGAGCAGGAAAATGATTTGAGAGCCACTGCCTTAGCTGAAAGGTTTGTTGTTCTTCCCTTTGCTTTCTATATGCAGTACAAAGACACAGCTGAGATCAAAGCAAGCATAGAAATTGCCCTAGCACCTCCTTGTCTCAGCATTTCCCTCTGCAGCAGGTGGTAATCCATCCATTCATTTCCCCTCCTGGGGCTGGCTTTTCTCTGGGGGTGCAGCATTTGAGGCACAGTGTACTGGTTTAAGAGTAAACCGTGGGGAGAACCGAATTCAGAGAGACCACAAGTCAGAGCTGCAGTTTACTGAAAGGATTACAATCTATGCAGTGATACATGGTGAAAATGCTGGCTTTGACACACAAGGGCAAAGTACAGCCCAGCACCCTGGGGCAGGCACAGCACGGTGCTCATTAGCTCCTGTGCTGGGCGTTGTGTGGTTCCCCTGGGTGCAGAGCAGAAGGAAAGGAAAACTGTCAGTTGGGATGATGGTTGCAGTTCTGTTGAAGGAATGATGGCAGTCTCCCCCAGCGTGGCAGTTACAGTCCTGCTGGTGTTCTGTTCCCCCTCTGGATCCAATGAGAGGTTCCCAAAGTCCAAAACCAGAAGCTTATGTCTCCCTAGGTTCAGTGGGAATGCCCAGTACCTCTCCCCAGGGGAGCTGCACAGTGTGTGGTTTTCCTCTGTGAATGGAAGGATTCCCTGATGAGCTAGGCCATTGTCAGTGCAGCTGTCCATGGCTCCACTAGCAGAGAGGACTCCTCCCACTGGGTGTGGAGGTGTTAACACC